AAAAACAGATGATATTTCAGATAGTCACCACGTAACATCACAGTGTAACCCCCCCATCTGAACAGTTAGGTCTAAGAAGGAGGAACTAATCCCCTGCATCCTAGCAGTTGAGGGGAAGAACTTTCTCCGTTCTTCATTTCCACACTGCACGGCGGGCTCCTCCAGCACAGGAGGTTTGGTCAGCTAGCACAAAGCTGCTCTGGAGAACACAAACCAGCAACACGTAACAGGCTACAACATCCTCTGTGTCCTGCAAAGTTTGTTTTTATAGTCAAGTTCTGCCCACTCCTTGGTGGTATCTGATATTCACTGTCCTCTCCTGCAGCATAGCTTGTACAGGACAAAGGCTTAATAAAACCCCCACCAAATCCCAACCCTCAGTTGGAAGATCAAATTTATGACACCTTTCACGGGCACAGACAACCACCTGCTAGACAAAAGACATTACCTGCAGGTTCTAAGGTGTTCTTGACAGAAAGCACACGTCTTAATGGACTGATGGAAGGAATATTAGGCACAAGCCTTTGTTTCTGACAAACGGATGTGTTAGTGCCCACTAGGGACAGGTGCTTTATAGTTCTGGAGTGAAACCTATTTGGAAAGTTTTATGGGGTGCAGCACATCTCAAATACCTTCACCAATGAAGTGAGTTATACCCAGGAAGAGAAGGCAAAAGACATATACTATGTTCCCTAGCAGTAGGAGTATTTCAAAGAACAGAGGGGGAAGAAGTCAGTATGTACCTGAACACGGCATCTAAAATACCCAGGTCAACACAGATTTCACATTTATGGCTAGCAAACAACTACCCTGGTTCTGGGAAGAGCTAGCAGAGACTTACCTGTGGAGCTGTTATATAACTGTTCTCCAAGTTTCAGGCTTGCCTGGAAGCTAACGCCATGAAGTAAGAGACAAACTTGGCTGACAGTTGCTTCTCTACATATGCCCAGTATGGGAAAGATCAAAAAGAACAGAACACCAGCATTGCACATCAAGCAAGATGAGCCTAAATCCCAAAAGACAAAGGGGAGGCCTCGGCAGGTCACCTTGCTCCTGCTTTAACTTGGTTTGTGCTTCCCGGCAGCCTACTGGAAGCACGTGTGACAAAAGCTTTTGTCACTGAAGGCAACAAGAAGGCTGTCTGTTGAAAAACCCAGGCTGCATCCATTCAGCCAAGCAGCAGAAAGTTTCTTTAGTAAGTGACTGTTACGCCACTTTACCAAACGCACAGACACGCTTGTGCTGTGTCAGATGAAGTCACGTTTCAGGGTGCATGCTCTTACATGTGACTTCATCACAACTCACCTTGCCTCAGAGCACTTGGAGGGCCCTAGCGCTGACTGAAAACGCACCGAAAATCATGTTCATGCTGACTTGCTGTTGTCATTGCCAGAAGTGATTCAGACTGGAAACCACTGAAGATTTATTTTTAACCCTATCAACTCCAAACAGGTTTGAAAGGGAAAACCAAGAATGTATACATGTCCTCACCATGCAGCCAAGCATCTTCCTGGATTCTTTGCCTTAAGTGCATACGACATCTAGACCTCTGGAGAATAATCATGAAGCTGAGCACTGGCAGAAGGCAGGCTCAGATAATGTTTTGCCCTTTTCAAGGAAGATGGACCTTGTGGGCATATGAAGCACAGGACAGAATAAAAACATCTTGCTCACTCCAGGTGGGACCACTATTTTAAGCACGGGTGTGGGACAGCAAAGATTGAAAGGTATCTCTGGCAGGTTCTTGAGTTATGGCATTATTCTCACAGAAGAATTCTTTAGCCATGCGCTAGCAAGAAACAGGCATCTTCACAGACCAGCATTTTAACAACAGACAACGAATGTGACCCTGGTGACACAACAGATCTCAGGGACTTAAGGCAGTAAATATCCCCAGAGGTAGAACTGCTGTTCTTCATGCACACAGAACTTATACCACCTGCTGGGGAAATGGAGAATGAACTTCCCCCAGCAATAAAATCATCTCTGACACAGACTGATGTGAGAAAATGATTGACACAAAACTGACTGTTTAAAAATCACTCAAGGGGAGGGTCAGTCACAGAGAAATCAGAGATGAAAATCAAAAGAAGACTGAAAACAGGCTTGGAGGAGAAATAAGCGAGGTGCATTGCTGATAAAGCTGAATATCCTTACAAGCAACAGGAGATGACGACACAGCTAAAAGTGAATCTTGCCATAAAGCCACAAGAAGAATCTTAACAATTTCAAAGACACCAAAAAGACAGCAGTACAGTCAAAAGAGCTACTCCTCTTCTTGACTCCAGGCCAGTGAAGTTGCTGACAAGCACTGAGAACACTTCACCTTCCAGCTTGACAGGACAAACTATTCCAGAGGTGTATTCTGCAGAGGTCAAAGAACTTCCAGCCAGACTGCAGGTATCTGTATTGTAAGCAGTGTGGACGTACCCATGACCCAGCGCTTGAGTAGAGGCATTCACAAGTATCACTCACGTTTCCTTCACGTCTTCACTTACAGAGCGAGGAAGAACATTCAGCATACAACAGAACCGAAGCAGACAGAGCTAAGGTTGTTCTCTCCTGAGCACATCCACACACAGCTGAAGAACTGCCCACAGCACTGACATACAAAAGCCTCAGTAACAGACTGGGCAAGCTCCAATAGCAGCAACTGAAAGCATCCTTTACAGGACAAGGACCAAAGCTCAGAGTGGCTCACTTCAATCAGTAGTTACAGACTGACTTGGGACTACCGGCTCTTTTCACTGGAAACATTATGTCTACTACAAATGGCACCCTCTGACAGGGAAGACAAGCTGCATCAAGCTTCAATCTCATATCCAAGAGATGTATCGTCTAGTGAGCTATACCTGTGACTGTTTGTGCTGGATGGAAATCTGTTTTTGAGAAGTGCAGGAAAAACTGATCCGGTAGAAGATGGGCTGCCTTGCTGGGCCTGTAAAAGAAAGTCAGTGTATTGTTATATGCTCCTCAGCACGATCACTAGTGCCCGTGCAGACACACTTATCTCGGCACGGGAACTGCAGCCTGGCCTGGGTATCATACTTTCATGTTAAGGTTTAGGAATGCTCTAGAGATTTAGTGCAGTAAAACAAGAGTCCGTTTCTTTCAAGAAGCCTGGCCCAACCTGCTAAAAGACAAAGCTTTTAAAAGCTGATATCATTCATGTCAGCTGAGATTAAGCGGGGCCAAAACAAACACTTCTCACAGCAAAACGATACTTCATTCTTTTGCTTTTTTGCACCTATCAGATTAGCCTCCCAGATGCTCTTATTTTGATCTACATAAGATTTTGTGTCGTTAACTTAAAACTCACATCATCTTATTAGACAAGCAAAGCCTGGGACCTAGAACTCTTCACAAGGAAGATGAACTTACCAGAAGATGGTAGGCTTGGTCATCAATAAACCAGGCTGCACTTGAATCACTGTCTTTGAGCAGAAAAACTTCAAAATCCCCTTAACTAGAAACATCCCTTAGGATTCAAATCTTTTCAGAGCTGCTCACCGAGACAAAAGTAAAACAGAGGCCACCTCCCCTCTGTGCCAGCTGCTCATTCTCTAGCCGCTGTTTCGCCAGCATCACCGACATCAGCGTTGGCAGAGCAGAGTGTTCCTCCTGCGGTTCCTTTGCTGTGCTGCCGTCTACCCCATACAGCGGCTGCTCCACTCGCCGCTGTAACACAGTCAAAAAAAATACAATGAACTTTTTTTTTTTTTAAGCAATTCTCTGACTCTGCCAAAACTGTTGTCAGCGAAGCAGCAGCTCAGGAATGGGCAGGCAGCATGGTGAGGATCTGATAATTCAAACAGGACTCCTGGAGTGATTGTTCCAATGGCAGACATCAAAAAGTAGATGAAGTCAGCAATTACAAAAAAAAAGTAACGAACATACAGGACAGAACTCCTTGTCAGTTAACACACCCCCTTCCTTCACAAATACACGGTTTCAGAGTCAGTGGGGCAAAATAGGTTGTAGATCCAAAAATCTTGGTGCATTGCGACTTTGGTCAATGCAGTCAAAGTTACACTACTTGACGTTTTTTAAGGACTCATTTTAAACAGCCAATGTCACGATACATTCGTTATTCTGGTGAAGTAAACTGAGTCAGAACTGCTGAGTGTCAGGAACCTAACCCTGTGTAGGACTGGGACACCACGTTAAGCTCATTTCTGCCATTACAGCTGGGACCCATCTCCTACAAGATAAGCAAAGTACTAAGGTGTTTCCAAAACCTTTTAAAGATGTGTTACATCTCTTAAAGGCTAGCTCCTTTCTCCTACAGTAGCCTCATTTTCCAACTGTGATACAGACACTGGGTTCAATAAGAACAGGAATCATCTAAGCTACATTGACTACAGCACTCAATCTTATTGCCCTCCCTTTAAAAGCCAGCCCATCACTGCTAGAACTTGGCAGTCTGGGTAATAACCACCAAAGTCCTTCCAACCTGTAGCTCTGGCCCAGGCATACACCACAAAGTAAACAGTCAGGTCAGGCTTCAGTTTTTCTTAAAAACCTAAATTGCAACCTGAAGTATATTTCCTGGCTAACATCACAAATGCCAAGAGTGTGCTTTCTTCCCCAAAAGAATGCTTGTATAGGAGAGCGACCTTGCAAGAGTCAGGACTTGCAGATCATTCTTCTGATCAAAGGAGAAGCGAAGCAATTCAAAGCAGTCAAGAGATTTGAACACAAGAAGTAACATCCTCAAGCCAGCACAATTCCTCCACAAGTTCTCATTGCAGAAAATTTCCAGTGCAGTATACATTAACTCATAGGTTTGGAGGATTTCTCATTGTGAAAGACATTTTAACACCCTGCTCTCCTCCTAGACCATACTGGCATCTGTAATGGGTAAGATCCTCAATCTTCTCCAGTTTTCACTCATGTCCCCATTTTGGGAGGCTTAGCTCAAACGATTGGTATTCAGTTTGTAAGAAGAGGACAGATCTTGCAAATACAGGTAATAGTTTATGATTAAGCAAACGTTACAGTTTAGCTGCAAGAGTAAAGAACAGAAGACAAGAAACACAAAGAGCACCTGCATAAGGAGAGAGACAAACTGGCCTAGCGGAACCTAACTGTAGCATCAGTCTTCACCACGTGAGAAATGCTCTGTTCAAACTTTCACTACTCAATACACCGAAGTGTAGAAGAAGAAAATCAATGGAAGAATCCACTTGTCCCATTTTATAAACGCCTGTAGGGTCTCTCATCTGCTGGAATAAAGAATTGTCCCTAATACCTCATGCATCTGCAACATTCAGAGATGGTATTTCTTTTATTAACTTCTCTTTAAAGAGGTGTATTAGTCAATCAATGTAAGATAGGAGGAAGGGCCATTCAATTAACAAGATGTATTTTAATTTTTATAAACATAAAAAAAATATCTAGAAGCATATGTGAAGCTCTCCCTTAAAGCAGTATTATGAAGCTTCTGAAATCTAGCAACACACACTAAATTCTGAGCAGAGCGTTCAGGTTTAGGCTTTAGTTCAGTACACATTCATGAACTGTGCAAAGGTCTCTGCAGAATAATGTAATCAGTAAAGACTTTGCATTTGGTTTTTGGAATACCAACCTTTCCCACAACGCTCTGTAATTTTGTGACACTCAACAAATGCTGGAAATTTTTAAAAAGAGGCCCAGGCAACGGTCAAAACTAGAGATCAGACACCAGAGCCTCTGAATATTGGTTTGTTAGCTGAAAGAAATTTCTTTAGCTGCTCTGTGCTAAAATGGCTTAAAAATATGGGTTATTTCTTCACATTCAGATCTTGCAGAAATGCTGTGACAGCAAAATGGAATTATGTAACAAAAAATAGCAACAGATGTCCACGTATACACATTTCTTTGCAAGCTTTTGCTAATGCTCCTTACAAGTCACATGCACACAAACAGAAGTAAAAGACCTTCCCAATATAATTACAGTATGCATGGTTTTCATGGGTCCAATCAAGATCAGGAATATCATTGTACTAGGGCTATACAAGCATACAACATACTCCCAACTCGATGGAGAAGTTCACGAGCTACAATGGAACACAAGATAACTAATAGGTCAGTGTCCTGGTTTGGGCTAAAACAGAACTAATTCTGTTCAGGGATTTTACATTTCAGCTAAGTCTCTTCTACGTAACTGCACTTTCTGAAACCAACAGCACGTTTTTCCAGACAGTGACTGCTTCTAGCAGTGATAACGCTGGGTGTTTATAGTTAATACCAAGGAATGGTATGCAGAAAGGCTCTTGCTTATACTTGCTCCTATAGCAACCAAGGTCACTGCTGAATCTTGTACTCTGTGTTGGGGTGCCAGGCGCGGAAAGGGTCGCGAGCACGTAAAACGGTCACACGTGCACGGAGGAGCGAGCCGACAGGTGACCCAAACTAACCAAGTATTCCATCCCATAGATGTCACACTCAGTACAAAGCTGAGGGAGCACGAGGGACAAGCTCTCTTCTTCGATGGCTGACATCCGAGGAGGACTCCGTCTGTTCTTTTATCTTCGATCCCGATCCTGCATCCCTAAATCCAGTGCCTGAGCCCAGCTCCTGCAGCCGGTTCCTGCCTGCCGCCGAGTCCAGCCCGGGACTGCCCCAGTGCCAGCCCTGCGGCGTCAGTGGCGACGTATCGTCATCAGGGTGGAGGAAGCTGGGTTCGGTATTGGGTTTGTATCTATTTGTATACATTTCATTATTTTCTTATCTTTATTATTATCTTTTATTGTTACTGTTTCATTAAAGCTGTTTTAGTTTTCTTTTCCAAACCGTAAGTCTCTCTCCTGTGTTCCCTCTCCCTTCCCCTTCTGGGGGCACAGAGGGGTTAATAGAGAGCGTGTGTCATTCGTTAGTGGCCAGCCCAGCCTCAACCCTTGACAGTCAGTTCCACCTTTTACTAAAGACAGCGATCTACCTGCAACACAGCATGCTAAAAACCTTTATCTCACACGCTTCAAGCTTTGATATCCACACCAGTTACTAGCCACTGTTACAGGGTCCTAGACATCTGGCTTTGCTGCCAGAACCCAGTTTCAGATTTAAAAAAGAAAGAACTGAATAGTGACTAAGTCAAATCACTCACCAAGAGACACGTCTTTCCTGTTCAGAACCTTTTATTACCTGTCTGAAGCACAGGCACCAACCTAATCAATGCCATGCCACCAGCTCTGTCCCAGGGAGAACACTTACTGGCAAGGGGTTGGATAAGGAATGCTGCGGTGATGATCTGGCGACAGGCGGCACACTTCTACCGGGACTGGTTCCTGGGCCACTTCCCCCAGCAAACTGGCCAAATGAACAGATTCGGTCATCAGTAATTCCACAGAGGTATTATATTTAACAGAGACAGAAGAAACACATTCATCTTAAAAATGAAGCCGTATAGGCTCTAGAGATTCGTTTAAACAAACTGAAGATGAGCTAAGAAAACCTTAAAATTTCATGCACTGTTTTCAAAAACAACAGCAAAAGTATGTACTTCAGACAAACGTTCACCTGTGGACTGAGTACATTTTTCGTTTTAACACAAAAAGATATAAACGTGCACACCTGGATATAGATAAATTATTTACTGGAGAGAATTAGGAAGGCTATTCCCTGTGAGGAGATGTGCACCGCAGAAGTGGTAAGAAATGTATACCTCCACCAAAGCATCTGTGCCGGTCACTGTTAAAGACAGGACAGGCAAGCAGCTGGGCAACTGGTCTAGTTGGTATCGAAACTCTAATTTTCCTGCACCACACAGTGCTCTGCCAGGAACTTTTGTCATGAAAAAAAGTGTTACTAAACGCTTTTAGTAAGTTACTCAGTAAAATAAAGAACTTAAGAGAAAGGCTAGAGCTCTGGATTCTGCAGATCTAGAAAAACTTCAGAAGCTATGCAGTAAAAAGAACACGGATTTTTAGAATGTCTGTCACCATTTTGGGGAGGAGTCTCCTCCTGCATGGTGCCATGGCAAGCTTTTCTAAAGAGGGAACCCTGTAAACAACTTCCTACTCAAATCAGTGGGACTTTGCAGGTAGTTCTTTGGCAGCACTGGGCCTGTATCAAAATAGGTGTGCACGCTAGAAGATACCCTCATCCGAGATCCAGGTTCCAACAGAAATCAACTTCCAAAGTACGCTTCTGTGGCTGCTCTTTTAAAAAAACCTGCTTTATCAACTGTTCAAAGGAATGTTCCGAAAAATCTCATATCCTCTACCTAATCAAATCTGAGCATATGAGGTAACAGCGTCAATCAATGACTCTGAGCTATTAACATGATGGATCAAGTTACAGAAGTCACACCACAGACTTCCATCTACAGATTTTGCGTAATGTGAGTTCAAGCAGATTTCTCAAACCACGTAATGATGCTTACCTCAAAATAATCACTAATTTTATGTCCTCTAGGAGTGCCTTTTCCTAAAAAGGAAAACAAAGAATGAAAATAAGAGTTGATAGTTTTAAGCACAGAAATTACGATGCCATTCTGAGAAACTACTCCTATATTTTGACACTCCTTTCCTGTAGAAAGTGCAACCCCTACCACACAAAAGCTTCTGCACAACAGAAGACTGCCCCAGGGTTACAGCTCTTGTGCTGTTGTTGAGAGGGTTTACTGTTCACAATTCAATTAACTCCCAATTCCAAACATGTCAAATCCAATCAAACAGCATTTGCACTTGCTAAAGTACTTAGAAAACACTAAATGTCACTGAATGTTGCATGGGTTCTTCAAGATTTCCTTCAAGATAAGAACAGAGCAAAGGGTACTTTTACTCCTCTGCCTTCAGGTAAATTACTGCATGTTAGATCTCTCACAAAAAAAAAAATGCAAGAGTTAGAGAGGTAATTAGTGGTGGCTTAATATCAGCTCATTAAAACTTAGCCCTTTTCTCTTACTATAATATTATCAAAGCAGTTCTGTCAACACATTCCTCGTTACTTTCTTGTTGAAGAATAAAAGAAATAGAAATCTGCCCCTATGCCCATGTGCTAGAAAATCTGAACTTGGACTTGAACACGCTGGGTTTTTCTTAGTACTCTGAGACAGTACTGCCTGCTTTATACTTGAGCACAGTTTGTTCTCTATTTGTTACGGTGAGAACTTACTCTAACGAGGCAGGCATACGTCTCAAACAGCAAGAGAGCACAGCCTGTATTTTCAAGTCTGGCTGCTGTATACGTAGTGACGTGGGACCAAACCAGCACTTCAGAGAAGCCATATTAAGCCTTTGGGCAGTCTGTCCCATAAAAATGCAACAGTTTGCGAGAATAAGCTGAAGAGGAGTATTTTCCTGCCAATGAGGATAACAAGGGTCCCAGAAGAGAACTACACCATCATGGAGTAGTTTATAACAAGCTGCCTGACACACCCTTGAGAAGAGCCATTAGTTTCCTAGGACACTGACTGTGCAAAACGTGCACAAATTACCAACCGTTCAGCAATCCTGCAGCAGGGTCAGGAGAATGAATTACCTTGACTGGTCTCATATGCTTCTGCTTTCCTTTTTCTATTCCGCTGGTCATTCTGTTTTTTCTCAGGAGTCTGTTAAACAATACTTCAAAATTAACATTTCTGCAGTTATTCCAAGATTTAAAGAAAATGCAAAAACACAATAATCTGCTCCATATCCCCAATGGCCACTTCACTTCTCTGGTGCATTTGTTTCTACTGCTGGTACTTAAAAGAAACAACTGCTCTCAAAGAGCTGCTGCCTTCTGATATATGTGCTGCAGAAGGGAGAGAACATGATTAGGAATGAGGTTTTTTTGTCTATTTCAGCTGCAGCAAGCCAGCCTCTACTGCCCAGTTACCTCACATGGTTAGCAGAACAAGCTCAAACACTTAAAAAACCTGTGTAAACCATTTCACAGGTACAAGGGGAGTCATGACAAGAGGTTTGAGTACAGACATCCAAATTTGCAGTCCAGTGGCTACTCACAGTCTACCAGGACAATTCATCTTGCCTGCAGCTAACGCCTCTTCCCGAAGACCTTTGCAGACGGCTACGAGAACTCTCCTGTCCACTGGTGCGCACGCGCAACCTTGCAGGAAGCAAGGCAGAGCTGCCCAAGGTGGCAGCCAGAAAGCTGCCACGGACGCAGCAATCCATCTGGACCCGGATCTGCTTAAAGTCCAGGGTCGGTTGCATCTGCCACTTCGGTGAGCAGAGACCAGAGGGGCAGCTCATCAGTGGACAGCAATATATTTAGGCACGGGCTCAATACAGAGCATGGGTGGACGGCTTGAAGCCTCCAGAAGTTCCAGGCCTATCTGTCTGTACGAGGCTAGTAAACCCAGACATGCGAGGGTGACCCTGGTGCTCTCCCTGTCAGCAGGGTCACTTCTGTGGCCAAACCTGCTGAAAACACTAGGAAGCACTGCTCTAGAAGGAGCTTACTGAGGCTGCTGGAAAGAAAGATCTCTCGTCATTTCCATCGCCAACGTCATTTTAAAAACGGCTCTCATCCCAAAGGGTCCCAAATAATTTCCAAGGTACATTCTTTACAACCGCTGCAGCCACCACTAAACCATAGTCTGGGGGCAGGAAGAAAACCACAGTGTGCCAAACACAACTCTGGGGGAGGGAAAGCCTCAGCCAGAAAGTTTGCGGTAAACCTAAGTTTCATGCTCTTTGGAAACCAAAGTCCAAAGTACCCCGTTTAAAGATCTCTGCCAAAAGACTTGCACACAGTAAGCGCAGAAATCAATCTTTCCTTTTTATCCTATTAAAGGAGGTAAAGCTGACACAGCCAGAATCTAAACCTGGCTGTGTCCCCAGTGGATGCTGGACATCTACAGTCCCATGTTACCAGCTGGGCAGTCACTGACATGTTATTGTTTTGGAGGAGGACGGAGGGGATGTTAAGACAAAGGTGGCTATTGTGTCTGCAAAGTACTTTTTAGAATGAGGGGACTGAAAACTCCGTAACTATCTAGAAACTTGCTGTACCAGCTCCTGTATGTGTAAAAGTCAGTGACGTAGCCTCCTCGCTGCATAGTGAACAGCAACTCATGAACAGCGTTGGCGTGACTGTAACACCACAGGCTCCATTACAGCCTCCATAGAACTGTAAGCATATTAATGAGATTCAGTTTAAGTTGTTTTTCCATTCAAGTACTTACATAACAAAAATTACGCACAACGTTATCTGTTACAGACTGAAAAAGCAAGGAATGGTAGATTTGATTATGTTAACTTGGTCAATTTAAATCACTCCACAGAAGTTCATAAAAAACCCAAGCAAAATGAGAATGAATACTCAGTTTTCCACTGTTAACTATTCTGACTTGTATGGAGTTTAAGATACTGCGTTCTCAGAAGACACAGCTTCACCAGACACCTCACATCAGTATGCCATACAATAGAAGGCAATATGACCCCAAACTTACCTGATAACCATGTGGAAAGTTCTTTAAATGCATAAGAAAATGCATTTACGTTTGAGATTTTGCTTTATTAATGTGGAATTTTGAAGTAAAAGTGTAACTCTACAATTCATTTTGCTGCTTTAGCAAGTGTTTTGAAATAGTTAATCCTAAAGCAGTGAGATTAAACAGGGACAAAGCATCAATTTTCACCTCCCCATACTTCCACAGAGCGATTCATAAAAATGCTCTGCTTTGAACAGACTTCTGCAAATTCACATATTTGACAGGTAAGGCAAACTTTTCCATTAATGCTCTCTGGCTTTTTATTTGTCCAAAACTGTATCCAAAACCAGCAAACAAATCACAATGCAGCTGAAAACAGTTTCATAAGCTGAGCTTTACGAATGCTGAGTTTTTGGGGCTGGGTAAAATCTGCCTGCTGTGGTGGGAAGCTTCAAGGAAGACTGTTTCACAGCATGGTCCAAAGACTGTAGCGTTAAGATCCAGACTAAATACTTCCACTAGTCCCTTTCACACCCCAAACAAAGAACACTGTCACTCACTCCCACACAATTCCTTCTATGTTTTGAGTTCAGTCATGTCCACCTTAAAGCCGAGTACCACGAGGACTTGTGCCTGCTTACCTCCAATTCCTTATCACTCAGAGAACCCACGCTGCACAAGCTCTGGTTGGAAGACTCACTATTTAATGGACCCTAGTGAAAAACAAGCAAAGACTGTTAGAAACAACTTCCATACAAGGCAGATACGTCCTATCAAACGCTGCATCTCTGGGCTAACTACGCTGCTCTAAGTCATGTGGACACAGCAGCAACATGGGTCAAATACCTAGACACATGATGAGGCACTACAAAACTTCACAAGTTGTTTGGAGCTGCCAGTTGGACAGCCTTTTCTCAGCACACTGACCCAGCCTTTGCAATATTTCTCTATCAATTCATATCCTAACCGCTCTGTTTAACCACATCCACAAAACAGCCCAGGCAGTATTCACAAAAGTCTAAGACAACTGGTTAGAGAAACAAAACTTCAGATTTGCTGAGTAGCAGGACTTCCAAGCTCAGGTCTTCGGGCAAGCATCTGCTTGACCCTGGGCTAAGAATTCAGAGGCATCTTCATCTGGCAAGGCGGCTATTACTGTTATCAGATGCTGGCAATACCACTGATTTTTCTTTAAATGTGTATTTTTTATGCTTTTTTTGACACTAAGAAAGTGACCAAGTGAAAGTTGTGTTAATAGCAGTACAACTGGCAGCCAGAAGACAATCTCTCCCACCAGGCTGTTCGACAGACCCATGGCTGACCTGCCAGCAGAGCACAAATCCAAGAGGCTGGAACAGATTTACCAAAATAGTATCCAGGTACCTACACGAACCTGCCTGCACCTCTGCAGGCTCTACCGGATACACATTTGCATTTTTACATATCCAAGCAGTTTTGAAAATTATTTTTTAAAGTCTATATCAAAACTGGTTTTAAAAGGACAGAAAAGTGATTCATGCAAAGTCACTGTGTTTTAGCCTAGTGCTCTGACACAAAAGTATCCTCCTACAGATCTAACTTAAGAAATCTGGACAAATTTGACAAAGATATAAAAACAAGATTCACAATTACTGATGGAATGTATTAAGAGGAAGAATGACATGATAAAGGCACCTCTCCATTAATAACTTGTGAGCATCTTTTCCCAAAGATTCATTCTATTTTAGCATTCTTATTTTTGCAGTAACCACTTCCCACTAATCAATCTTTCCTTAAGGCAAAGCCACTTCTCATTATATACCTGAGCAGAAGACTTACGGGAGGGGTGGGAGAGAAGCCTTAGCACCACAGAGAAATCGCACAGTAGATTATTTTTGAGGGGAACAGTTCTCTCTCCCCATTTATGAGACAAACACCACCATCAAATTAAACTTGTGACACAACCTAGGTATTACTAACCTCAATTTCCAAGCAGGCACCCACAGAAAGTAAAAGTTCTGTTTGCCTTCTGTATTACACTGTGAATGTTAACTGCCAAATTTGTTTCTCCTAAAAGGCCATGCTTAGTTGCTTCAACAACAAAAAAAACCCACCAAAAAAAAAACCAACCAACAACGCTTGAATAGCTCAAGAAGCTACATATTTAGGTTTCCCTTTTAAAAGCAAATTACGCTACAAAAAGTTGCAGATTTATACTCTTTAAGCTATACCATTATCCCTTCAACTCATCACACAAATAGCTCAAGTCCAGAAAGATGGTTTACCTCATCTCTTCAGCAGTAGCTGCTTTTTAAGCAAAGCAGCAAGCTCCCCACCACCCAACACGATGGCTGACAAATGTTACGGGTACAACTTCTGGTTATTGCAGGGATTTATTCCTTGGCTGACAGGACTTAACAGAAGTGCCAACACTAACCTTCGCTACATCCACACGAAGTTCTCATTGATATAAAGTAATAGCTTATGGCAAGTGGCAGCAGAAAGTTAATCTTTCCACCCATGTAAAAAGCTTGTTTATAAACTGCACAAATGCTGTCCTCTAAAATCCTTCGCTTACTCTCGTGAACTCAAACCCCAGCAGCACGTTCAAGACATCAACCTTCTGTGCGAGCGTGAAAGCTTTATTAGGTGCAGGAGCATTTCAACAAATGAGCATTTGCTGGTCTCAGATGGACAGGCTGGGGTTCTGACACGAAGACGATGAAAGTGAAAGTTGTTTCCACATTTGCTTATATCTCGCCGCCTCCATTTTGCACATGGATAGCAAATGACAGGAACAGCTGCTCCCAAAATGCCACATTTGAGCTTTTCAGGAACACTGTGGTCGAAAGGGTATGTCAGTGGCTTATGAAGGGCCAATGTTTCATCAACGGACCTGTATTCTAGGGTCACCTGAGAAATAAACTGATGAGGCTGCCTATAGTTAGAAATGACCCTTATGATGATTTTTTTCAAAACCAGAAGTTTACCCTCTCCAGTACAAAGAAATCCACTCAGTCTGCATCTGAATGTAAAGTTCTGGAATGCGAGCAGCTGGAAAAACGCCTAATCCAGAATGTTTTTCTTGCTTCCAGTACCACAACTACCTGTACTGACTACTCCATGTGGTAAATTTACAGCTCCAGCAGTTAGAATTAAACTCATTTTTTGCATCAACAAAAAGAGCAGTTCAGTTCTGATCACAGATTCTTGAAGAGCAAAAAAACCTATTTTCCCTTTTCTTTAAAACTTCTTCTAGGAAATACACTGACAAAATCGTAAAATTGAACTCAAGGCAGTAGTAGAAAGGGTGAAAAGGAACTAACAGCTTAGTTATGGAACCAGAAAAGAGCAGCTTGTCAGATGTCTGTAAGGATCCAGCAAGTTCACTTTACATGTATTGATACTGTGAACAAATGCAGAATTAATTCTTTGTAGGCAAGTTTTGACCCATTTCCACTGCATAAGCTTTCCTTTCCCTTGATGATCCTCTAGAAGGCCTTCTACTCACACTTCTCTCACAGCAAAGGATTAGGCCTGTCTTACAGGCAACGAGCTGAAGCATCTTGTTCATGTTAAAGTTGGCAAAAAAGCCTTGTTTTGAGGTATTCTGGCTATGGAAACAGAAATTGTTCATTAGAACGTGCTGTACTTGAAGCAATAAAGATGCAGTACCTCGGGTGTTTAAGGAACATGGCCTAGTCCTCAGCTGCACCTCTTCTCGTGTAGTTATGCAAGAGAAAGGAAAAGCAAGTTTTCCTGATCAGCCAGCTAGATACCTAGTTTTACGCATAACCTCATGTTATCGACTGCTTATAGCAACAGGTTTAGACAATGGATATGAGAAACCATACATCTGAGCATCTCCCCCTCAACTAACAGTCAGTGAGAGCGCGTGTATAAAAAAACCCCCTTCAAATTTATGTTTTATCATTCCTGACTGTTTATATTTAACTCGGTAACTGACATTGGATAAATGTTCAGTACTTAATTTAGCATACCATTTTAAGTGGTCACGACACAAAAGGAATTAAAGGAACGAATGCAAATTTTGGAAAACAACAAGCAAGCAATGGCAAAGAGTACTAACATCAGAATATTGCCAGGGAAGTAGCAGTAGTGAATAATAAACATGCAATAGTTTACACAGGAAGGGCTTATGAATTTTGTTCAAGAACTAGTCATCTGCACTGGCATCTGGCTTTTCTAGCATAGACTACTTTGGGATAATACTGCACTTCTCTGATATCACTTCCAGCCCACTCATCCACTGTACCCTGTCAAGAGAACCGGTGATGGGGCTCAGCAAAAATTCAAAATACGTGGGTCATCTGAAATAAGCTAATAGTTTCTATAGTGTTTACCCAAATGACAAGCACAAGAACAGCACACACTTCCTCCTCCGCAAGGAATTTCTTTCTGAGATAAGCTGGCATGCTCTTTTCCCTTGTGATTCACCTATCAACTGCTGCTTCTACGTCCGTGACCTACCTATGCACAACAAAACCTCCATGTTGAGAAGTGGATGTAACAGTAACAGGCACTTTCAAGACTCCTACTCAAAGGCAAGAATTTAAAATCTGTCCACTCACACAAGCTGGTTAGTCATTTCTCCCTTTGCAAGAGCCCTGGAAAGGCCACAAACGAGGCACAATGGCTGAAGTTTCAGCAGAAACAACTTAGCCTGATAATAGCTCCGATCAGATCTTCCCTAACAAAGCAAGCCTGACTCAGACTGCCCTTACCTATCTCCTCTTCAAGCCTATCTACTGCCTCGCATGACTTGTGCATTTCTTCAGCCTCTCTAAGCTCCCCAAAATGATCCCTCAGGCTTGTCCACAACTCTTATGTTGGGCAGTCTCCATTTTGCGCTCTCCAACTCCTTGTACTGAAAGGGAGCTCCAGGAATTCGTGCTGCCTAGCCAGAGTCTCCAACTTGGACTCACAGCAACGTGCATTGCAAAATTCTCTTGCTAACTAAATGGCGGAGACATGCTTCATTACCTCAAGCCAAGGTAACCTGAGTTCTCCTGAATTCTGTAGCAAACCAAGAGATTTCAAAGGGAAAAAGTCAGTCCTTAGTGCCACTAAAAGTTAGTGCTGACTCCACACAGGCTTACACCAAAGTGAAATGGCTGAACGGTTCACCAGTTACTCTGCTCCAGTGCTACTGTAGAAGACAGGTTTAATTAACATATCCTTATTTCGAGCATCACATAGGTAAGGGAATTACAGCCTGCTTCTTAATTGGGCTTTTAGAAAGGCTCGGTATTATAGCAAATAATTAAATTCCCGAATCACATAGGTCTTTTTGCCATGAGAAGTTAATCTACTATCAGGCGTTCACAGGTAACCTCCACTATATCAGATAGGTAAGCAGATTTGCAACAGGATTTGCTTGGCTTCCATTACGCCTCAAAGAGTTCTCTCAAGCTGAAAAAAATATTATTTTTATTTTACTGATGGCAAACTAGACAGAAAGGTCATGCAATTCACCCTAACCCTCAGTTCAGGGGTAGAAATAAAACTGAGATCTGACAACTACATCTGGGCTTTAGTAGCTGGACAACGCATTTGAAACAAGTAACGTTGCACACAGAAGCACCCAAACAACTTTCAAGTATTTGGCATGAAGTCCTGGCACATTCTGTGGTAGCTGATATAAATTCAATTCTAAGTTTCAAAACTCATATTACCTTGTTCTTCTGGTGGCATGTGACACCTGTTAAGGACCACCACTACGCAGCACCACTTCCCTCCAAGGAAGACACAATTATTCTCAAACACGTATTCTAAACTTGGTAACTTCGCTGCTAAAATGTGGCTAAGCAGACCACACAACTGGTAATTGCTGAACTGATTAAGGCTGCTGGAGTGTCAGAGAAAGGGTAAAAACCAAAACAACACAAGTCAAGGCTGTTCTTTTTTATGAGCAATTCTCTTCTTGGAGGCAGATGTTCTGCAGCATAAGTGATACTCTTCAGGTTATTTTCATTTCCCTCTTTGCGATACCTCGAAGGGGGAGGGAAGAGAGCACTAGCTACCACCAAGACCAATACTTCTTCAGTTCTAGCACAGTCATTTGGATCTACAAGATTCCTACAGCACAACAGAGAAGGTTACTCTCTCTAGAAATACCTCAATCTTTTTAGTTTAGCTGTAACAAAGTGGCGCACACAACACTGAAGATCTTTTAAAGACCAAACTTGTAGAAGATATGTGTGCTACTGTGATGATCCACCCTGGTTAAGCCAGAGACAAGCTGTGTGCAAATACAGGTTCACCCATCACAATACCTATTCCAATTCTTATCCAGGAAAAGTCTGTGGGAATGACGCAAATCCTTTGGAGACAACACGCCCGATATCTTAAAGGCAGCACCCAAACAGAGGGAAGGGAGGCAGGGGATGAGAAGAGACAAAATTAAACGAGGTTATCTGGAGAAACAAACTACGTTTTGTCCCCTGTACCTACTGACCCAAGGAAGAAGTCTGCGATGACACGTCAGAATAACGCCCCAAGTGAATGCGCTTAGATTTCCCCTAATAAGTAAACATAAACAGGAGCTAAATAAGCAGGAATAGTGGTAGGTGGCAGATAGTCATGTGCTAATTCAAGGACTTGCTTCACGAATTTGGGGAAGAATGGCACTTTACCATATGGCAAGAATAGACATCTAAAGCATCACTGGCTTTTTGAAGCTATCTAGTGACCTGGATGAACCGCACGAATATAACAGTTGCCTAGAAACATTCCTTGCTCATAAATTTGATTCCATGTATTAACTCCAAGCTTCTAGAGAAATACATCCTCCAGCTACTAAGTAACATAATTTATCACAGACCCACAACAGAATTTTGAGGCGTTTGGGACTGCAAATGACCTGTCATTGGGCTGTGCCTTCAGCTACCACAGGAGGTGACAGCACACAGCTGTTTCCAAAACAGTTTAGGATTTCTGTCCTCTACTGCTGTTACTGGAAAGCTCTTCCAGAATCCCATGACTCCGATGGTTAGAAGCTTTTTTTCTATTTTCCAGCCTAAAAATTTATTCTAGAGCAGGTTAGTCGCACTCATTTCTCAGAAACTCATTTCTCTAGCTGTTCTTTACTTGCAAACAGGGAGGGAAAGCGGGCTTTAAAGCTGCAGTCGCATTCAGGATATAAACTAGTGCCTCAGTTTTCTGCAGGTCCAAATCCTACCCTGTACTTTTAAACATTAAAGAAACCAAACCAAACACACTAAGCGATAAGGCCAGCCGGTGGAAGGCAGGAAGCTCAGTTACAACTGCCTGCTGCCCTCACCCAATAGGAGAGCATCTAAGATGACATTTCTTCCTTTTATGCAATAAACAGCAACAGAATACCTTCTATCCCAGGAGGATGTGCCAGTCCCAGTCCCACTAGATGGCACTAACTTGCTCTACGTAGCTTTCCTTAAACATTTAACTGGAGAGAGCTAAAAAGCTTAGCTGAATCATACAAATTGTATCACACCTTTCCCAATATATTCCCTTTAAGACAATGACCTACCAATGCCAGTGCGGAGCATGACGGACGGAGACTTGGGGGGGTAGGGAGGGAATTTGAAGCACCGACCTGGGAGGGAATGTAGTATCTGAGATTAATATTGCAACCAAGGTTTGCTGCAACATAGTAGAGTCATGCTATTCATATCAATGGTTGGCTGATCTATTGCAAATTAGCAAGTATGCAAGTAAATAAATATATAGTTTGAAATAAGTGCAACGCACTTTAACAGTTTACTGACTAGAACCAAGTAAAACACTATACTACGTAACAACAGGTAAAAATAAAACTCAATACAGAACAGCTTTGTTCAAAGCGAAACCTCCAAGAAATGAGGCTTTTTACTCGGATATGCTTTAGAAACAAAAATGAGTTTTCAATATTCACCCGTATAGAGAAAGGGCATGTACTTTCTGCTCCAAACGTATTGAAAACATAGTTAAGACTTGCTTTCCTGTATCTTCTGAAGGTTACTCCTTTAAAAGGAATAGTTCCTAACATTCTTCATGAGCGTTGAGTATGTTGGCACTGTTTTAAAGCAACGACAGCGTCTATGCTTCTAAACCTTAGCATTCTAGAAAGTTGTATGGCTTTATCTATACTGGTACAGATAAAGATGTTAAAGCAACATACATATGGGGAAGAGGCAAGAAACAGATGAAAAAGTACATAAAAAGTTGTAATGCATAAAACAAGTCTTTCAAGATTGTAAATACATTATGTACCATAAACTTTTATGCTAGTAAAAGCCTTGAGATTAAAAAAGTCTTGAGTGGGGCAAAAGATCAAAAACCCCTCATACTCTTACTACAAAATTGTTACCCCTTAACAATTCTAGTGTTAATCTTCCTTAGTACACTACCTTACAGCTGAACTCTACTTACTCACGCTCCCTTTCAAGACTTAACCTTGTGTTTTGAGTCCTGACTGAAGCACAGATCAGAAAGAGAAGTATGAACTCCAACGAAACCCCTTCTCAAGTTCTGATTTGCTTTGAATTTTTCCAAGAACGACAGCATCTGCAAAGTTTCTTCTCGAAATAATTCTAAGAGGTTCTGAAAATTATCTAGCAATGACACTTTGTTTTACCATCACATCATCTTGATGTTGTCCAAAACTCAGTATCTTCCTCAAAAGTAAACTCCTTATCGCTGACCTAGTTTAAGATGAGTTCTGCCACCATTTCATTGCTCAGAGAGACTATCAATTAACACCACCACCAACATCTGGAGAACTAACAGCTTAACGCTAGGACATCAAGCAACCACACGGTGTTACTATTTAAGTGCCTTAAGAAAGGCAGCTGCTGAACAGTTGTGAAGTTGTACGTGAGGACGACGATGGGATTTTACTAGCAGGCTGTGGATCACAGCTAGAGGAGAGCTTACCTTCAAATACGTTTTGTGTGCGTGCTCTAGGCGACCGAGTACACGATTTCAGCACACTGCACCCACAAAGAACTGAACAAATTCCTGAATACATTAAGTCTGCTTGCATGTTGTATCAAACACAGCAAACTTGGAACTGTGTCTAACCAGGGGCCAAATTCGGTGCTCAAATGCATTCTCAGAGAACGGAAGAGACAAATGAGATTCCCGCTTCCAAAGAGAAAGTTGTCATGGGTTTTTTTGGGGTGTACAAGCTGCCTTAAGATGGAGCAATTCCTAAGAACTTAACTAGAACCCAAAACCTTCTGTATAGCAAAACATCTGCTCACAGAGATCCCATTTTCATGCCTCTTAAAACATACTTCAAGCAAATCAGTGGCCAAAACACAACTATTGATACAAAACTGCTAGCAAAGCAAAATTATCAATGTAGAAATTAAAAAAATGAAGTGCTGTGCAGGATGGATAAGCAGTCATGCCTGTTACCAAAGGTACTTATGCTCACCTTAGCAACCCCGACTCCAGTGAACCTGGCCTCCAGTAGTTCCTGCCTTCGTGGGTCCAGGCTATGCAATTCTTCCATCATTTCTGCTGCTATGGGAGAACAACACTCAGATTATGCAATGCAAGGAAAGGAGAGAGATTTAATATTCTGTGCCAATGACAAGACTCAAAAGTGCCTGTTTTGCAGCATAACCATGTAGGAAGCATTTTCTTGCAAGAGAAATGCAAGATCACCATGTAATAACAACATGACTTTGCCACCATATTACTGTATTTAAACCATAACCCTGCTGGAGAGTTTCCTCTTCTATCTGTTGTACCAGCCATTTCAAGATCTTTCAATCCAAGAAACCAATTATGCCACATTCTCCCACTGGATGCCTTATTAAAAGGAAAAACATGGGACCAGAGTGTTATGACTAAAAGCTTCAGAGCTTTTCATCTGTGCTGCATGACTAGGAGAAAAAAAAAGCAACATTCTTTACCCCATAATTTATTTTTGGCTAATCCTGGAAACACTAGATCTCCCCGAACTCCAGATTTCACTGACAACAGCTTTGGTTCTTCCAAGCACAGAAAGGAATCATAAGAAGAAAACAATGTCGTTTAAACCTTCTACTTTATAGGGTAAAGCATCAGATACCTCTAGCGTAACAGCTGCTTCTATATTCTGGATGTACCTGAGATACCTCTTCGCAATCCAACACAACAGATGCCATATTTTGAAGGGTTAAAAAACAAAACAAACCAAACCCCAGCATAGTTGTGTACACAGGTTAAAAATCAGGAAATACACAATTTGAATACTGAACTGCAAAGAAATGGGACAAATTTCAATGTTCATTATAACTGTGAATCAAATCTTCCCAACTGCACCAATCAAGTTCATTTCCAGAAATGTCTGTTCCAGTTTCATTTTCTGGACTAAGGTAGGAGGGGGAAAAAAAAAAAAAAAGAAGAGTCAGAAGATAAAGATTTGCTGTATAAAGAGCATATGTGATGAGGAAAGTTCTTGAAGGGCAGCAAGTGCCCTCTAGAATAGGCAGTATACAATTGTTCCTTTTATTAACTGTCCATTTTGTCTCTGCCATTTCCTCCAAACGCTGCAGATCTAAGTTACAGGGGGCAAAGTGAATCCATCCGGGGGCATTTACAACTGCTCTCCCAAATCAGTAACAAGCCTCAAAAAACTAATGGGATATTAAACGCGGTGATTAGAGAATCCTATTTCTACTATGGGCTTTAAAACCCCAACAAAGCTATCAGCCTAGTTTTCAAAACAGGAAATCTGTGCACCGAGGAAAATGACAGACAAGCCATGAACGCAGAGATGTGAAAGTACTCCCAGGTCTCTCCTGCATCACGGGGCACAGGGCGACCACCCGGGAGGGAATCGCATCCCCACGCCGGGATGCTGGTCTGGAAGAGGGACTGCCACAAGTTCCCGAGCCTTTCCACCCCCCACCCCACTGTAGGGCCGAGCTCCCTCCCGGGGCCTGGGGACTGCCCT